AAGCTTCTCTCACTCATCCAGGATAATCTGACTGCTTCCTCTCTTTTGCTTCCACTGAATCCCTTCCTCTCCTGCCTGCTTTCTAGATTGAAATTCTTTGAAGACAAGAACTATGTCTCTGTAAAACACTTGGTTCTCGGAGTCTCACAGAATAATGATCTCATCCATAGTCAAATGAAATCTGTTCACCCATCTCAATTCCTCCCAGAATTGTTGAGGATCAACACTTGTATTTTGTAAAGTACTGAACAAATGATCAGTTTTTATAGGTTATACTTGTTTTTTAGATACTGAAAAGATGCTTTTGATCCTAATACATGGCCCAGAGATATAAATATTCCATTATCTCTACTACTGTTGCTTTTCTTAATTCCCCAACAAGATAAACACGATTCCATCCTAAGGCCAGTCTCATAACCCTTAAGAACGTGAAGATTCTCACACCAAATACTTTTCCTTCTCGCAGTTTCAAACTGAAAGAAAAATGTACAGGGTCCCAAAGGGTTCTCCCTTTATTTGCTGCAGAGGTGGAAAATGAACACCAGAATACATGGAAACAATTAATCCTGTATGTTTTGTCTAGACCAAATACTAATACCTATTCAGCACATTTTCTTTCTGTCCTGTGTCCAAAGAAGTATAACTTAGTTTTTACCCATCTCTTCTTTTCCATTTCTTTCTAGACAAGAAAGGACAAGGAGTAAAGAAATGGTTCTCTAGTACTATATTAAAATCATTTAATATTAATTCTGCTACTTCAGGGAAGAGTGGAGACTAAAATCTAGGAGAGGAGGGTGAGAGGAGTCCTCAAATTCCAAGTCTTCCAAAGTGAGGCGGGAAAGCAAGTTAGTGAGAACTGAGAGGAAAATGAATGCAAGCCCTGACAAAAGCACCAGTATTCTCTCAAAAGAAAACTAAATGCAAGCGAAATAAAACAGGCCTGCAGGCTAGATTCAGTTTCTTACTCATGAACCTTGATCATCTTTAAGCACTCCCAATATGCTCTCCTTTAACCTGTGCAATCAAGTCATTATTACCTTTAGAAGTAAAATGAGCTCTCTTCCAACCAATATACCATAACCAACATACATAATACCTCAATTCCCTCTAGTACAAAAAACAAATCTCCTTCTCTGATAATATGAGGAAATATCTTTCTTTCTTTCTTTCTTTCTTTCATTCATTCATTCATTCATTTATTTATTTATTTAGTGGTACTAGGGCTCTACCACTTGAGCCACACACTCCCAGCCCTTTTTTGCTTTAGTTATTTTTCTGGATAGGGTCTTGTGTTTTTAGTTGCCAGGGGCAAGCCTCGGACTGCAATCCTCCTACTGATGGCCTCCTGCATAACTGGGATGATAGGACTGTACCACCATGGACCCAGCTTATTTGTTGAGATGGGGTCTCATTAACTTTTTGTCCAGGCTAGCCTTGAACCACAATTCTCCTGATCTCTACCTCCCAGAGAGCTGTGAGCTACTGTACTGGACAAAAATGACTACTTAAACAGCATCTCTTCTAATTCTGTAAGTAGCATCTATATACCACCCTTCGATGATGTATAAACCACAGAGCAATCTTGTTCTGCAGTTGTTCTTGAGTTTCCAATCAACTGTCATGATAACATAATTTATAAGGCTGGCTTCTGGAGAAATCCAAACCAAGATAGAGATAGTAAACTATAATTCTATGTCTCTCTCCTTTACTCTGAAAAGTGAAAATGATGGCTTTATGAGGGTAACCATCACACATACCTCCAAAAAATCATTTCCAATTTTGCTATGATAATCTTTATTAAAATACTCAATGCCAGACTTCACACCTAACCAACACACGTGTTCTTTGGGTGAGTCTTTTGTGTGTGTATGTGTGGTACTGGGGTTTGAACTCAGGGTCTTACTCTACCAGCCCACACAGGTGTTCTTTGATACTCAGCTTTCTCTCTTTGAGGGTCTGTGCAGCCAAATGGTGGCTTCTAGGGATGCTGCACATTCAGCACACTTTAGTAGACCCAAGTGTCCTAAGACTGAGGGTTTTGAATAGAAAGCCAAGACATGGTTTTAGATACCAGCTTTTCTGTGTCCTATGTCTGCACACAACATTGCTTCCTCTTCTCTAACCAGATGCTTACATCTGCTGCTGCCCTAGTCAATGTCTGTCACCACTCTAGCTGCTTGCCATCAGCTCCCTCTACTTCCTCTGCTTCCCACCCACCGTGCCAGACCCCTCTGCTGCGGCCTTCACTGGACTTTCACCCCAATCTCCCCTTGGTTCACTGGGCTAACCACACCCTTTTCACCTTTCTTTATCAGGGTTCCTCCATGAACTGTCATTCTGACCTCAAGATGATTCCCAGAGATGACACCTCTGATCCCTTTTCCAACATGAGCCTCAGTCTTACATGTATACAGATTCTCTGTATTCTCCAGCTTGCTAAAATAACAACTTCAAAGCTGCAACCCTTTCCATGAGAGTAGAATGCATTCAGAAAGACAGTTGCAAGGGGAAAATGTTCCATGTACAGAGTACCTCATTAGCTAAAAGAAATGTCATTTGGTGAGAACTATTTCATTTCAAGAATAAAAAAAATTATGAAAAGTATTTCAAATAAATTACCTGCATCACTGACTTAACTGTCACTCACTTTCTACAAATGACTTAACTGGTTTGCTTCTAAGTCATGTAGGAGAAAAATATTAAATGTTAAGCAAGAGAAAGAAAAATTAATTGGAGCCTATGTGATGATTAATTTACCAGATTATGTGTCTACAAAAGATAACGGGTTTCTTATTTATTTAAAAACAAAAAGAAAAATAAATGTTGGAACCATAACTCTCTGGCTTGTTTTAACACACTGGTTCTTAAGAAGTTTAATACTTCTAATATTACAAGATTTCTAAACAATACTAGTTTATCCATGCAAAATTTGTGCTGAAAAGTTAAAAAACAAAACAATAAGGTACATTAGGAAGGAAATGTTACTGAGGATATGTAAGAGAATAGTCTACAAAATTTAATACTGGATCCATGAATTCAAAGATCAAATAGAGCTGACGACATTTTTTTATCATTTAGTTGGTGGTTTTCATGAATGTGTGTTCACTTTGTGAAAATTAATCAAAGCTGTAAATTTATGGTTTGTGCATGTTTCCTAAACGTAAAATAAAAATTAACCTTTTAATAACAAAACCGCAAACCACAAGAAAAAAACCCACATTTTTCTAAAACTCGATCAATAGTATCTTGACAGTATAATTTTCTTCTTTTCCTTTTTGGGGAACTGGGGTTTGGACTCAGGGTGTCTTGCTTGCAAGGCAAGACTCTACCACCTGAGTAACACCTCCAGCCCTACAGTATACGACTAACGCATTAGTTTGCAAGGGCTGCCATAACATACTGTAGAAAACAGTGGGAACAGAAACTTATTTTCTCAGAGTTCTAGAAGCTGGAAGTCTAAGATCAAGGGAACAGCAGGTATGGTGTCTTCTGAGGCTACTGTCCTTGGCCTCCTTACTGATGACCATCCGCCATACTGTGTCCCTGGTCTCTGTGTGTCCAAATTTCCTCCTCTCATGAAAACACCAGTGGAACTGGAACAAGGCCTACTAACACTAATGGCCTCATTAAGCTTATCACCTCTTGAAAGGTTCTATCTCCAATACAGTGATATTCTGAGGTACTTGGGGTTAATACTTCAATATAGTAATGTTGGGGAACACAGTTCAGCCCATAACTAACACATCAGTTTAAGAATTACTAATGAGTTTAACATCTGCGTCCATAAGTATACTGCTTTATGTGCAGTATACCTAGGAAATGCATTAGGATTTAAAATCATTTGGATGCACAGAAGCCCAAACAGAAAAGGCTGAGGCTCAAAGAACACACAAAAACAATAGTGTGTGTCTCATCAGCTATGAAGTATGGCATTAAGTAATTAGATGAGGATTATAATACCAAATTTGGGCCATTTTTTAAAGGTGTGTACATGCATGTGTGCATGTGTGTGTATGAATGTGCATGCCAAGATTATCATTATAAAAAAAAAATTTTCACATGAGTAACGGAGAGAAGGGCTAGAGTTACAGTTCACTATCTCTGTCTTGGTTTAGCTTCGTTCAAAAGCCAACTCTGAGACAAAGTTTTAAATTTCAGGTAGTTTATTAGTGAGATGATTCTCAGAGAACATTGATAGAGGACTGGGAAAGAGAGAAAGAAGGAAGAAGCCAATAAAGAAATTAGTCTAGAAAACAAGTGCTAGCTGGGTACCACTGTGGAAAACTGTTGCTTAGTCTAGCTATAGAACTCTAGAAGGCAGTGCAAGACCTGTGCCTCAGCGTTATCTCAGCTAAATTAAGGGAGCTAGGTATTTCTTTATCCACTAACTCCTGTCAGATACTGGTTGACAGATTGCCCCAGAATTAAGAGTTAATATCCTGGCACTTCTAACCTATCCTCCAAGTAGACAGGGTAACTAGTAGAAGAAACAGCTCTCTTAGGGAGAGACTTTTCTGCTGGAATTTAGGAGTTGGCCAGTGTGCACAGAAATGGCTCAGGCTAAGGAACAGATAGTATCTGTGACATTTATACCACTGCCCGTAATCCAAGGGAGTGTATCCTTAACTTGTATATGTAAGAAACATCAGCCTTCACCTGAACATAGCAAAAAAAGTGTTGAGAATTGCTCAAAAACAAATTTTTTCCTCTGCTAAATCATATAGGTATTCTGTTCAACAAACTAGCAATTATGGTATGTAACAAGTTACACAGTAAGGAAAAAAATCAGTCAAATCATCAAGAGAATTACATTTTACACAACTATATAAACAACCCTGGATAGGGAACAATTTTTTTCTATGAACAGAGAAGACCACATAAAATATTCTCAAGAAAGGGTCTTTTAGAGGGGAGAAAGAAGAAAAATAAAAGTGAAAACAGTATGTATCTATAGGGCTTTCTTTTTAGAAAAGCTAATGATACAGTCTGTATAAGTAAGGAACTGTGTACTGATACAAACATATAGAGTCCTTTTTAAAAAAAAACAACACAGAACAGACATCAGCTGAATTTCTTTTCAAACACAGCACTCTTTCAGGGTGAGCTGGCTCACAATCAACGTTGCACCTCTGACCAGACCACAGCTGTCTACTTCTACCAGTTGTCAGGGACCTACAACAACAATGGGGTTTCATTTCAGAACATAAAAATGTTTTTTGAGTCCTTTTGCACTGATGGTATGAAACTGACCTAACTTTGAAGAGTTTTATTTTAAACCCGAACTCGACTTAGGTGATGTTGGTTTCTTTATTCGTCTTGGTTAATGTGTTTAATTTTCCAAGTAAGAAATTGGTACTCTAAATTGAGATTTGCAAGCAAGTTGTATATAATATCCTTATTATTTATACCAAGATACACTGAAACAATCCCTATTCATATTCACTCTATGCAGTTAAATTACATTTTTTAGTCTATTCATCATCTATACCATACCTGCCTCTATTTTGCTGTTAGCTTTTATTTCAAAAGCCCTCTCTTTCTTAGGGTTTGGTCATATTGGATTGATGAGACTTTTTCTTTCCAAATGTATCTATTTAACTTTAATTTGATGCAATCTCAAAATAATTCATCCAATGTTCAGTGAATACTGCTGCCTCACACAGCACTGCCTCAAGTGTGACATCAGTGCATTGGAATTACTCTACAAATGATTTCCTATACTTTCATTTCTTTATTAGCCAAATTTTTCACATAGCTGCAGAAAGATTACATCATGTCATCAGAATGATAGGAACAACTTCATGAACTATATCTCCCCCAGGGGATGTTATAAGCTATACAATATGAACCATGGTGCCTTCAGATAGATGCAGAAGAAACCAGAAACCAGAATGTATTTAAAGGGGGAAGAAAGGAAAAAAATAACTAGAATTTGAACATTAAATAGTTTCCACTGACTATGTCTATGATGATGTTTTGGAACTGCTGTTATTTTTTTGTAGCATCACAATGGTCTGTGGTTATGTAATTTTTGAAGGAATCCTTATGGAGACGTGTACAGAATAACTTAAGGATGGAATGATATGCTGAGATCTTTAACCTAATCCTGTGAGGTACAAAGGCTAAGCAGACCTTATGTTGAAGACTGATGGTAGGTATACAGAAGTTCACTATACTATTTCTGTTTTATATATGCTCAAATATTTCCCACAATGAGGGAATGGGGGAGTGGCTCAAGTGGCAGAACGCCTGCCTAGCAAGCACAAGGTCCTGAGTTCAAACCTCAGGACTGCAAAGGAAAAAAAAATTCCACAAATAAAAAGTCAAAAGGCAGGGTGGGATGGTGAAGAATAAAGCTTATTTCCTCTCCTACTAAGTTTACATTTATCCTGAAAACCTTAAAAAGTAATTCTTTATATGTAAGACATCGTTCACATTTTTCAGTGTTACATTCACCTTTCCCTTTACTACACATGAGTCTTTAAGCTTAAACTAAAGTGGATGAGGTAGAAGCAGTAGACATATCTTTCCAAACAGAAGAATTTTGTTCAAGTGTAGTACAAAGTCATGTTTAAGATACCTTACATATTGTTCTAAGAATTTTCTTTTGTCAGGGTTGCTATAGAATAAGAAAAAAAAAGCACTTTTGTGATCATGGTAAACACCATTACTGTTTATAAAGCAGTAATCTTATAAACAACAGCTACTGAAAAAAATCGAGTACTTAAGAGTAGATATAAAAAAAAAAAATCAGGGGCTCGTAGAGAGGCTCAAGTGGTAGAGTGCCTGCCTAGCTCCCCAGTACTGCCAAAAAACCAATCAGTATAGCAATAAAACCCCAAGAGTAGTCTCCTAAATGCACATAAATTTCCTCTGATAACAAAAGAAAGGTAAAACAAACACAGCAGAAGAGATTGGGGAAAGGAAGACTACAAGAACAAAACAAGCACTGGGAGGGTGAACAAGTTCTGGTCACTTTTGTTGGCTCCTTAAAATCATTCACTCCATAATTTTAATATCATCAGTAGTCACACCAAATAACTTGTCCACCAAAAACAGTAGCTTCACTTATACTAGATCAGAGCTTCCTCCCTTGGCACCATGGACATTTCACGCTGAGTTCTTTGTCGTGGGACTATCCTGTGCATGGCAGTATGTTTAGCACCACACCTGACCATTAGATAATGTATTAACAGAAAGCTACACCAAGAAAGTGGCAAGTTTAAAACAACATTCATAATGTGCAGCTAAGAAGTAGTTCATTTTTATTTTTGTAGGGCAAACCAAATAATTTATGATGGAACTGAGGTTTTTACCAAGTGAAGAAACTATATTATATATATTCCTTTGATAAAGTCAAAGTTTGACTTTTTCAAAATGATATATAGTTTCACAGAGCCTTAAGAGATAAAATTTACCAAAGCAATGATGGGGAAGGGGTACAAATACAAAAAATTTGATCATAATTATGACACCACATTAAAAAAAAATCCATAAATCCCTAACGCTGGGCAAGCCTACACAGAATTTGTTGTATTGTTCTACTTCAGCGTACATTTAAAATATTTCAAAATAAAATGTTAAATATTTTCCACTCCACTTCTCTCTTTTCTTCTTTTAATGCTGTCTATTTCTCAAGAAATTGATTTTATACCTACTCTAAAAACCACCTATATGATTATTAAGGGCACAGGCTGCAAGACATTGGTCATTTGTCTCATCAATACAATAAGAAAACATTCTGCCTACTGCATAGGTATGTTGTACAAATGAAATGAAACAGTTCATGTATAAGGGTCTAAAGTGAGTGCTTAATAGGTTACCTATTTCTTTTTACTTAATAAAAAGGCTATTGCTAAAACAAATAATTAAATGCATAAACTACTGCATAATAAAGATATAAACATCATCTATTTATATGCCATAATAAACTCTTTCAACAATAAAATGGTCCCAGGTACTTTGTATCACAGTCACTGTAATCAAGAGTACAACTGATGTGTAGGCTTCCTATCCATTTTAGCCATCCTTCCTTTTATTCCATCCTTTTATCCCATCACCTTTGGTCAGCACTGGATACTGGAAAGTGATATTGGTGAGGTTGGGGGAGAAGAGGCTGCTACTTTTTTTACTTGAAAGCCTTCCTTACTGTTTTTTAAAAATAGAGAATATCTGTCACCTTTTAAAATAACAAACCAATTTTAAAGTCTTCCTTTCTTTTTTTTCCTTCCAAGGGAATTACTATACTTATGCTATCACTGCATCAACAGACTACATCTCTATAATGATTAAAACAATACCAGGGCAGCCAAATAAACTACTTTCTGTTCGTGTGATACAAAGCTATGTTGCAGAGAAAGAAAAACTAGTCACATAATATTGTCTCTTTTAAATTCTGGTATAAGAATTCATCTACACTCAAAGAATTAGAGAAGAGACCATGTCCATATGCAAAACAAACCTTGAATATGGTTTTTAATAAAAACAGTAATAATGCTATTTGAAACAAAAAAGAAAATGAGACTTTTATAAAATATTTTTAATTTCAATTTTTTTGTCAAAGACTTAGTCTCAAGACCTCAAAAAAAAAAAAAAACCTTATGTGATGAGTTTGGTTTATAAAGAAGCCAAGTTCTTCCTAGGTATTTAATACATGGATCAAAATAAAGAGCCAACTGTCATAAATGGGAAACTATAGAAAAGAAAAATAAAAGGGACTATGAGTGTTTTACCAAACAGGAAATGGCAGGTTTGATAAAAGCTGAGCATCACAGAACTTCAGCAATAGTTAAACATATAAAAGTAAAAGTAACATCTTAATAATGCCTTCTGACGTTCCCCACAAAAGCCATGACAAGGATATACAGAAAACAGAGGTCCAAAATAAAGTTACTTACTGAAAAGAAGTCAAAGTAGCTGTAATCTCAGCTACTAGGGAGGAGTAGATAGGAGGAGTACAGTACAAGCCCAGCCCCAGGTGAAAAGATGAGACCTGAAAATTATCTAAAGCAAAAAAAGGACTGGAGACAAGTGGTAGAGTGCTTGTCTAATAAGCAGGAGGCCTTGTCTTCAAACCTCAGTACTGTGAAGGGAAAAAAAAAAAAAAATCACACCCTAAACTTCAATAGATTTTGAGCCATAAAAATTAAGTGGAATTCATGAGTCCTGGAACTGGAAGTTTAGGCATCAACAAATTTCAGGGCTGGGTATGGTGTTACAGGCATATAATCCCAGCACTTGGGATGCTGAAGCAGCCTATGCTGCATATAGAACCCTATCTCAAAAAAAAAAAAAAAAAAGCATAGCAATGATTAAAACCAAAGAAAAAACAAATAGGCCAATATTCCTTGCAGAAATTATAGATCAAGTTTTTTGAGGAACAATATTCTAAATATTATCTAATTCATAATGAAAACATTGTTAGTATAATTATGACAATACAAATGAGGAAGTTACACTACCAAAAAAAAATACATATATATATATATATATATACACACATAGGTGGCAAGGCTGAAACAGAATTCAAACATCTTCTTTCATTCTTCTACTTGACAAATCATTCAGGATTTCTCTAGAAAACATGGGACTGAATTTAAGTTTCTCATTGATTGTTACCAAGTTATATCCAAAATTCCAGAAAAATCTTGAAAAATTCATGTTCTAAAGAAACAGAATGAGGGAAAAGAAAAAAACTTGCCAAGATAAACCCTATACTGAAAAATTTGTTTAATTTAAGCACTGAACTTCTATAATCGCTAGAAATTTGGAGGGTACTGCCTAATCTAGCTCCAAAAAATTGTGTTGGTTTCCTCCAGTTAAGCTGAAAAGATGTTGTAGGCAAGTGCAAATTAGTCACAGTGATACATACCAACTCCAGAACAATAGTTACTTCTGGAAACGGAGATGGGGGTGAGAGCAGAAAAAAGAAAAATGGAGTATCAATTGTAGCTAAAATGCTTTATAACCTTAAAAAATAAATACGGCTTAATGGGCACAGGTTATACTATTCTCTACACTTTTCTGAAGGTTTAAACTATTTCAAAATTAAGAAAGTAAGAAGAAAATTCTAAGTTTTAATGAATTTAGTTTTTCATTCTAAATATTACTCTTTAATATTAATCCTATATTCCAGTTTTTTCTTTTAATCCTTCTCAACCCCATCCACAGGT